GTATAAGATCTATCAGTGGGATATAGGTTTTGCTCATGTTGAGGGAGGGGATCAGGTTATGTGATGGTTTCCTTGAAGAAAGGAAATCTGTACATTGTATGATCCTTCAATAAGGTAAAGAGACTATGTCAACTATTTATCAGATGAGCTCTCAAGATTTGTATGACAGTCCAGATATCTTAGTTGTGACATTACTACAATAGTTTTTCCTAATTATTCATGCTAGTGCTAAGGTACAGATTTCACTTGGAATGGATTCCTTTCATACAAGCCCATAGGGTCAGTACTTGGAAATTAATGTGGTAAAAGCTCTGCAACCGTGGTGCATATCAAATTTTCTTTGTTGCATGTGACCCTTTAATTTTCTCTTTCTACAGAGTATATCTATGGACAGTTTCTGGTCAGTGTTGCAATTTTCCTCAAGGAGACATCCTTTGTATTACTGATGTGATGCTATAGGGACGTAACTCTGACAACAGCTTCTCTAGCTACGCGCCAGCACTCAAAGCATCTCAAGGCTATTTTATGTTCTCCCATTCTTTATCTGTCATGTGTGGGATATTTCAAATCGACTCAAGCATTCTACTCCTTTTAAGCTAGGAAACATAAATCCTCTTAATATGTGCTTCTTTGATATACAAGCATGCATCCACTAGTTGTGCCTAAATTCTGATGGAAACACGACTTTTATGTTGAAGATCTTCATTCAGATGAAGAATTATTATGAATTGTCAGCTAGAGAAGTTCGTAGAACATTCACAAGTTATTGTAAAGAGTATATACTTGCATTGCATTGTCAAAGAAAGCTTGTGCTATTTAAAGATAGATATCTGTGTTAAGACATTCATAAAAGCTTAATGGTTAAAGAATATTTACACCAACCAAATTTGGTGTGAGTTCAGTTTATTTTTATTCTCCTTTCTGGCTTAGTGATAATCCTACAGCTTGAGCCAGTCTGAAGCAGGGAGAAGTAACTCAGGTGCATACCAAGACTCCATTTAGTATTATTTTTCTATGATGCATCTAGTTTGTGCTGTGAAGATAGGCTGTTGGGTTGGTTTGCATTCATTGTGGTGTTACATAAATTAACCTGCTCTTTAAAGCATACTATGCTGTGAGCCAAAGCTCTGACAGTGTTACCTCTTATCGCCCAGCTGCACATAATCAAAACCATCCATCTCTCTGTCATTGAGCTGTCTTTTTTTTCTTCTGTTGGTACACAACTGAATTCATTTTTCCTTCAGAACCTTAACATTTTATTTTACCATAGATGCACTTGAACAAACAAAATTAACATCCTAACTATGAAGTTTACATTCAAAAAACAATATGAATAATATGCATTCTTTATCAACGATTACCATTCCTTGTTCTTTTGGGAGATACACATGCTTATAGATGTACTAATTTATTGTGCCAGTTTGTTAGGACTTATGAGGGAACTTTCCGTGTAAATACTCCTCATTGACTAGATAGATGCAGGTCAATGACTTTTCAGGAACTTTGTAATTCAAATTGCTAGATTTCTCTGAAAATTTGATATGTAACTTTATAGAGGATAATGGGAGAGCATGTGTGTTATGCTCCTATCTCAAATAGTTTTTATTTCTTGACTCTATCTTGGGTTTCTCGACGAGTTTTAACAGCCTGTATTATAATGATATAATGTTTTATGTTATATGCATATCTTTTATGATATTTTCTTTTATGTCTTATCTACCTGAAAATCTCTCCAGTTAAGAAGGAAAGAATCTCTTGGAAGCAATGAGAGTGTTGAAACCATAATTAATTTAAATAAAAGTGTGTTAAAGAATGACAAAAGTCCCACATCGGTGATTAATGAGATGGGTGGACTCCTTATAAGGCTTGGGCAATCCTCCTCCCTTTGAGCTAGCTTTTGGGATGTGAGTTAGGCCTAAGACCTAATTTCACATGGTATCAGAGCAGGGTCCGTCTCACCCGATGTTAGGACCCCCGAAATCAAATTGCCCGCGCACCAGATGTTAAGCACTAGGCGTGAGGTGGGGTGTTAAAGAATGAAGATGCTAAGCACTAGGCGTGAGGTGGGGTGTTAAAAAATGAAAAAAGTCCCACATCGGTGATTAATGAGATGGGTGGACTCCTTATAAGGCTTGGACAATCCTCCTCCCTTTGAGCTAACTCTCAACAATATAAACTTTTAGATGTGGTAGTCATACAATCTAGTATGTTATCGGAGAAAGTAGAGCTCTTGACTATGAGTCTCATTACTTTTAATCGAAAGTAATTTCCACGTGCACTCTCTAATAGTTTAATTTTTTGGATGAGATGTTCACAAAGTTTAATAAAAATATATTGCCATAAAAAAGTACTGAAATAGAACAAACTGGATGTATCAGCTGATGAATCCTGTTATCTGCACTGCCTGAATCAAGATTGATAAGACCAATGTTTTCCTAGCTGTATTTGTAATTGTGCTTACCGTCTACTTTCCAAATAGTTGTATGGATGGAACAATTTTTTTTAGTTATGTCAACTACTGATATTATCCATGACAGGAAAGCTGCGAAGTGTATGGTTCAGCATTGATGTGTGGGATGAACTTCTTCATAAGCATGTCATGTTTTCTGTATTGAATGGTGTTCATACTTTACAAGACAGCCTTATTTTATTTTCAGATCCATTGCTCTGCGCTGAATAATAATCACACTTGCAGATGGTCATCAACACCCTTATGAGAAATTGAGCCTGGGGTAAAGTTTGTTGAAGAAGCTCAATGCCTCGTCACATCGGTTGCATTTCCACTAATAAAGGAGGTAGGACAACGGATTCGTGTTTCTCTTTTTGTTCTTGATTACTGAGGTTAGTTTGTTTTATAAGCAAAAGTAGAATGCTTTATTTTTATTTGGAAAGATACCTTCATTACCTTAAAGGATAAAACAAAAAAGGAATAATCTGAAATTGGGAGCAGTCATTCACACTTGTAATACAACAAGAAATGTTTTACTGATAACTGATTAAACAATGAAGGTTGGTATCCTCTTGATTTTGTAAGATTCAAAAGCAAACAGAAAGAACATAATTTTGTTAACGACAAGCAGATAAACATTAATCCTAAAGTAAACACACAAAATATCATAAAGAACTAGAAATAACAAGATATTGATGATAATTGTGAAAATGACTTTTCAAGCTCTGGGCTTGAGCCGACCCTGGTTGGCTAACTTGAACAACTGAGCCTGAGCTGCTGCAGCGCCGTCTGAGCTGAGTGCTGTAGCAAAATTGTTCTTGACTTGGGTGGTGCTGTAACTGAACCTCTTGCTAACCATGGAGTTCAGCAAAGAAGCTGTGCCTTCCCTGTAGAGTTGCCCAAATCCATCGGTATGTTGGTTTGAAAGTGCTTGCAGCAAGTTCATGTTTGAGCCGAGCCCTGGAGCACTAGCCACGCCAAATGCACTACCAACATTTCCCCACCAACCAAACAAGCCCCATATCAGTCCTGGGTGAGTCCTCCAGTAACTGCAATCATATCATGAAGTGTTAAAAGACGCTGCATATTGAAGTTAAGAATGCAAACTAATACCCTTTTTGACCAAGCTCTTCTGGGAAGCCAAAAGTGGTTGTTTTAGAAAGTTGACGTGTTTAGCCAAGATTTTTGGAAAAAATAAGTGCTTTTGAGTAGCACAAAAACTGTTTTTCAGAAGCTAAAAAAAAATAGTTTTCCTCAAAAACACTTCTGGACATTGGCCAAGCACATTCTATTTCTCTAGTTTTGCAAAAGTACTATCGACTTGATTATCCAAATGCAAACTATTACTCTACAAAAGTACTTTTTAAAATAAGCAGATTTAGAAAGCTTGGCCAAACAGGTTATAAAGCTGTCGATGTTAGTAAAATTACTCATACTTATAAAATAAGAAGAAAAAAGATGTAAACTGTGTTGAAAAAAAAAAGATGTAAACTTACTCGCATGTAAAAGGAGGTGATGGTGTTGGGGTAGCAGGAGTGCTTGGAGTGCCAGGGTCAATGATAGGAGTAGTTGGTGGGGTTACAATAGTGGGTGTGGATGGGGTACTAGGTGTAGGTGTAGGTGTACTTGGAGGGTGGGGATAGTAGCCACCTGAAGGAGAAGCTGGGGTAGGGTCATGATGCTGCCCTCCTTTTGGAGGGTTGCCACAGTTTGCTGGTGGTTTGCTTTCATGGCTACTGCTTCCATGAGATGGAGTTGCATGATAGGGTGGTGTGCTTGAACCTGTTATCCACAAAATAAATTGTCAGAGTGAAGACAGTATAACTTGAGACACTTTCCAAATGGTCTAGGACTAAATGCTTCCATCTAATTGCAAGAACTCCAAAACTCGTAACTAGCAAAATAAAGGGCGCTTTGTACTGAACAACCCCGTTATGAAACCAACCTAACAAATAATGTGGGGATGAATGCTGCCTCCCGCAATTTATATAAAACAACAGGAACACCAATATAAGGTGGCAAGGTCTTTGATACTTAACAATTTTATAATTTATAGTGCTTTCCATATAATAGCAAATACAATGCTTAGGAAATTGTTAAGGTAATCTATAAAAATAGCCATTATGGTTTTCTTTAAAGTGCAAATAGCAAAATATATATATGGAGGGTAAGGAACCTGTTGGTGGACTTCCAGTATGTGGATCAGGTGTGTAGTAGTTTTTCTCTTCTTCAAATGAAGCAAAAGACACGACGGGAATGACCAAATTCTGCAAGAGCAGTGCAGCAAATGCGGCCCACAGAATTCGAGAACTCTGGTTGCTTCTCTGTTTTGCCATGATGGTTTGCTTCTCAAGGAGGCTGACAGAGATAAAAGAGAACGAATGAAGGGAGAGATGGAGAACTCAGTGATGGGAAGTGATACAAGTGATTAGCAGTATATAAAGAGTGATGAGATACAGAAATTAATATAAGCAGGTGAAGATGTTTGTGGTTAGTTGTGTATGTTGCAGGTGCATTTAAAGTCACTTCAATTCATGTTGCAAAATGTTGAGAAAGACCATCTTAGCTCTAAACTTAACAAAATATTTAAAAATATGTTCCATGGCCCTAGTTATTGAATACTGTATAAACACTTTCTGGCAGAAAAGTTTGTTTATCTAGGATTGCTAGGATTATTGCACAAGTTAATTGCGCTTTATCTGCTTAATTATAAATTATAGCGTGCACAATTCAAAAATAAATCTTCTTGGAGGGGGTAGGATCATTCTGTTTTTTTGAGTACGTTTTATATTTCTAAATTTAGCAGGTTGGAATGTTGTTGAGACGGAATCAGGTGAACTTTTTTCCAACTATATGAGAGAGGCTAGTTGGTTAAACAGTCACTTGAAAATGGTGAGACGGGGTCAGGATATCTACATTACTATTTTCTTCTCTGTTAAACTTTGTTCAATTAATTTATCGGGTAATGGGAACAGATGAAGACCGAAGCGGACATAGCTTATAAGTTATGGGTTCAGGTAAATCTTTTGTCAATATCATGTATATGTATGAACAAATCAACTACTTTGAATATTTATAAATATTTGACTGTAAAAGCAGTTATTATTATCTATATTAACTTGAGGTACTCATCGTAGGAACTAATAAACTTCAAATCCTAGATATGTCTTGGACGAAGAAGCCCTTGAAGGGAGACCAGACTAACAAGAGGAATTGATCACCAGAGAATGTTTGGTTCACAAGAGGTCAGTGTCAGTTCATGGGTGCTGCATCTTATTTCCCAAGGTTTTTTTATTTGCTCCCTACTGTGAAAAGTGATGTAAAAGATTTCATTTCATTTGTATTCACATTAAACCAAGAAACTAGTAAGCATTTGTGCTCTTTCTAAAGACTCTACTTAAACATCTAAAGAATTTCACATATGTTTTTTGATTGGGACTACAACAATAATAAGCCTACTTTCATTGGGTCAAAAATACTCCTCTACTTTTATTTGTGAGTTAAATCTGTCTCTCGTTAATCATTGTACTATCGGGCCAACAAGTTATTAATTAGTTGGGTTGGGTTGCGTTAAAAGAGGGGTCCAAGTTATTTAAGGGAAATAGGGTAATTTTAGTCGACTTGGGGAATCTGTCCAATTGAGGGGCATGTTTGTTAAGTTTACTAACGGAAAGGGTAAATTTGACCCTGTAGATAACGAGAGGGACACACTCAACTAATAAACGAAAGTAGAAGGATATTTTCTGACCCTTTCTTCTCAATTTAGTACTGTACAAACATCAGCAAGGTCCAGCTGAATCCAGGTAGGGACCTTTTCTTGAATTATGCCAGTTTATTACACTCAACTAGGCCATCCTAACTATGATTTGATTGTTAACATAAGATTATGTTCAATGATAGAGAAAGGTTACAAAAAGATACTTGAAAAAAGCAATGCCTAAATAAGATTAGAGGTGCCATAAATATGGAACTTAATGACCTATTAAACAAAATATATGAAACTTTAATGGTCCTGACAGACAAGTAGGTGAAGGGAAGACATTGAATTGCAGCAATAAATGAGACAGCAAAAGCATTGCCCCTCCTTGAGGATTGGTAGGTTGTGTATGTCTGTTCTCTGCGTAAAAGTCACTTTGACTATATTTTTTGGGTTAATAGGGGTGACTGAGCTAGTTTACGCGTACCTCAACTAATCTTTCGAGCACTTGTTCTCTATTACTAACATAGATATTCGATAATTCAGTCTACCAAGGTTTTGACACATGAAAGGAAGTCACCTGGCTTTTTGTTTCTGGTGGGATTTGAACTCTAATTTCTCGTGATTCTCACTCATTTTATCGATCGTTAAGTGATACCATTGATGCACCTTTGAGTACTAATTTATGTACAGAGAAGAGGGGGTTGGGTATCTATCTGTACTCATCAATATCCTCTAAGAGTAAATGTAGAGAGAGATGAGACCCAACATTAAAATAAGCAGAACCATTTTCATTGGCATGAGCTGTCATTTTGAAAAATAACCAAATGAGGTAGGTTTTCTCATCTATTATACATATTTACACTCTTCAGCTTTTGTGGCCTTGTGGTTACTTAACTGATTTTCTACATTTATCTCATTTGATTATCTTTTCCATTTGGACAACTTACAATTTCAAACTCCTTGTTGGTAAAAAAAAGAAAAGAAAGGAGAGGCTACTATGTCTTTGGACTAAGGGTATCTTGGAAACGGCATTGTCTGCCTATACTTTACCCCCTCGGACTCCACTTGTGGGATTACACTAGATTTTTCGTTTATCGAGTAAATGTAGTGTTTGGTGTGAGATGGTGAAGTCCACAAATGCAAAAGGTTCATAGGGGTGTACTATAAGTCTATAATGCTACTACTATAGGGTAAGTAAGAAGAAGAGTAAATGAGCTATATATAATCTTCAGTACCAACTAGCTAGTGTAGTACTAGATGGAGTTTATTCTCAAAATTAAAACAACAATAATTTTGTAAGATTTTAATTATCAAATTACTTGTCAACTAAATTAAAGTACTGATACGTTGATTATTGGTCCATACTATATCAACTCTTTTTTCTTAAATGTTTTATAATATCATTACGTAAATTATGGTCTCTGGTGCTCAGCCTTAACCACTTGGCACATACTTAGCGACATTCCTCTTCATACCTTTCCACCAATAGTTTGGGCGAATCATCCCATCACAACTCTCATTTTTTCAAAGATATTTAGAATTTTGTATACGCGATCTTCGAGGGCATCATATGTCTAAATTTTTTGGATCGAAATTAGGAAAGGTCGATTCAATATCCTTTTGGTAGATAAAGTAACAACTTTCAAGAGTTTCTTCGTGGTCTACTACTCGAGCAATTATTTATTTATTTATTTATTTATTTGGTATAGAAAGGATAATAGTATATTGTAAACTAGTAATATATCATAACAAATGGATCAATAGATCATGCATATATAATTAAATATATTTAGGAATATCATTACATGTGATTGCTGATAGATTAGTCATCTTCGTGATGATCAGTATTAGTAGTTAGAAATAATATTGGGATTTAGCTACTAATCATTTCTTGCTAATTAATTGCTGGCGGTTGTTAATTAGTACACTTTATATATTCTGTTTTCCCTGTACAAACACAGTATCTTCAGAATCAAAGAATTTTGAAAACTATAATTTTGTTCTTGATATACTTGACCAGTAGAAGATTTTGTTTTTCTAGACCATTTAATTTTTTGGATTTGATGGCACCGCGCTTGCCTAGTGTGAATTATCTAAACCTTTTAATTTTGGATTTGTTGATCCTGTGCTTACCTAGTGTGGATTATCTTTCTCGTATATAAGAGCTATACGGGGTTTTATTTTATCCAAAAATAACGGCTGCGGAATTTTTTTTTTTCATAAAGAAAAAATTGATCTTGATTGGAAATGGCATATTTTTGTGCATAGTAATACACTATATGCTGCTCCTTCCGTTTTGTGTTTCTTTTATTTGATTCAGTATATCAGAAATAGATTTTTTTTTGTTCATTTAAAAATTCATGAGTTAACTAGTTTTTTTTTTTCAAAAAAAAAAATCCTTATGAGTAACCATTTGAAACTTATTGTTGTACTAGTAGTTAAATTTAAACAATTTGAGAGGATAGTTAATTTGGATAATATATACAATAAAACAACCACTTAAATAACATATGCGTATTGCGATTACAAAATATAAATTAGATAAATAAAAGAAAATGAGAGTAATAAATTCAATCACCCAGAGCAATAACTTACAAATCACTCGAGAAATATAGATAATCATATTAGGTAAACTCAGTATTTAAAGAAAATATGCTATAGGTTTAAGTTTTAACATATCTATTTAGGTTCTTGCAACATATTTTGGTTTTTTTTTAAATTATAATTACAGCATATTCTATACTAAACAGAATAAATTAAAAACCACGCCATGTAGGTGCAGTAAGATTCAAGTTTAAAATAACCGCCCAAAACGAATCTGTTGGCAAATTAAATCATCTTATAATTAATACCACCCACTTTTAAGAACATGGCGGAATAAATGAGATTCCTCCTTTTATCATTCGAGTATAAATCTTAAATTAAATTTAGGCTAAGTTTTTGATAAGTTATAAATGTGTTATGTTTTATTTGATAATTTCTTTTTAATATTTTCCTTGATTTATCTGTACTGCTTCGAAGATTCACGTATCCTCTTAGACCTCCTCATTAGAGTATTTACGCTTCATCTTCACATGTTTGGATTATTTCAGTCCCGTCTCCTTCAACTTGATATTGAAAAACAATTTTATTTTATTCCAAATATAAAAAAGGATATTGTATTTATTATAATTGTTAATCATAGTGCGAACCTGATCCGCAAATCAATTCACTATTTACCTTTCCTATAAGGTGCGGTGTGACATATATATTTCCAACTTACACCTATAATAATAATTCTTAGTTCTTTTTTTTTTTCGTTCGATTAAATTAGTGTTTGATATTTATATTAGAGGTGATTAATTTATATTTATATCACATATGGTTTCATTTAGAGATAAACACTTTCAGCTAAGGATATTAATGATGATTATTTCACTAATAATTTTTTCATGCGAAAAATTCTAATACGAAATTTCATTTAATTTACTGCAACATATTCTATGGTGATTATTTTTATTTTTTCAACATGATGAAAGTGGAGAAGATGCTTCTGCAAGTTTCACGTCAACTAGAAGCTATTAATTAAATCATATTTAATTAAAATATTAGACACACCAGATATCTAGGGATACTACGATTATTAAATATTTCAAAAGCCAATATATAAATATTAATAGAATCGTGATGGCCGGTAAGTTTTTTTTTTTCAAATGAATCTTTCAGATATATTATGATGAATTTTTGATGATTCAAAGTTTTCAATTTTTAGGGTGAAGAACTTGGCTTTTGGACGGCCAACTTCACATGCATTATCTACGATAATTAAATCTCAAGAAAAAAAAAATGATCGTGAATCTAACGTCTATATACTAATAATGGTGTAATTTTGACACTATATATTATATCACTTTAAGAATATAAGTGTCAGTCGTTCATATTATATAAAGCGAATTAGTAATTTGAAAAATAATAAGTTACAAATATATTATCAGTGTATATAAATTAAACCACGATACTAAATGGAGTGATTAATTAGCTAGGTTTTGCATAATTGGTTGACTTTTCATCTCGACCAAATAGCTTTTGACTTTTTAAAGTATTTTATTTTATTCAAAAATAAGTAATCATTTTCCATGCAAATTAGTACTATAAATTTAGCTTATAGTTCTTAAAAGCTAATTATTAACAAAAGCACAAAATTAGCTTTGTTTTAGTTTCCCTTTCATTAATAATGGCTATAGATATGAACTTTCCTCTTTCTAATTTCACCTTATTATTATCATCAATCTTTTTCATAATTTTCTTTTCCCTTTTATTGAAACAATATTACAAAAATGTCCACAAAAATCATATTACCAAGAAAAAACTCCCACCAGGAGAAATGGGGCTACCATGGCTAGGTGAAACCATAGAATTTTACAAATCTCAAAAAAAGAACAAATTATTCGAAGAATTCGTCGAGCCGCGTATCGAAAAATATGGGAAAACATTCAAAACAAGACTCATGGGTGAACCAACAATAGTTGTATGTGGAGCAAAAGCCAATATGTTCTTCATGTCTAATGAATTTAAATTGGTCATAAGTTCTTGGCCTACTTCATCAGTTGAACTTATGGGAAAAAATTCAATTATGGAGAAAAAAGGCGATATACATCGATTCCTACGTGGCATAATTTCATCAAGTCTAACATCTACTAGTCTAGATAACATGGTGCCCAAAATTTGTAACACAATTCAATCACATTTGTAC